CTATATACTCTATATAACTCTATATAACTCTATATAACTCTATATAACTCTATATAACTCTATATAACTCTATATAACTCTATATAACTCTATATAACTCTATATAACTCTATATAACTCTATATAACTCTATATAACTCTATATAACTCTATATAACTCTATATAACTCTATATAACTCTATATAACTCTATATAACTCTATATAACTCTATATAACTCTATATAACTCTATATAACTCTATATAACTCTATATAACTCTATATAACTCTATATAACTCTATATAACTCTATATAACTCTATATAACTCTATATAACTCTATATAACCATGCATACTACCACATTCAATCAATAAAAATCCCACTAAAACCAGGAACCACCGCGTACCTGTTATATATATGGTGTGAAACAAAACAAACACAAAACAAAAAACACAACCAAGTAAGTGTAAAAGAATAGAAGTCCCTAACCTACCTATGTAACTAAATTACCTTATGCCCTAGCCTACCTATATAATAAATTAATTTTTACCTCACCTACCTATGTTTCATTAACTTAACTCAACACTCATGAAGAAAGAGAAAAAGGAGTAAAACAGAACATAAAACACTACCACACAAACAAACATGATGCATGTATGTATGTATGAGCAACCGCTAAAGAACCCACCTAAAATAAAAAAATGCAAAATACAAACATACAAACCACAGACAAACATATATAGCCGCGCAACTCTATATAACTCTATATAATAAAATAAATAAAATAAAAAAATAAAATAAATGAGATCAGGCAGACCGCTTCAAGCCTTAAGCGAGGCAGAATGCCTGATCTGATTTTCATGTTTTCTCAGCTCCTATTTATAATCGTTTCAACCATACATTCTCATCATTTCAATCATTCACATCAGTAAAAAACTTATTTAATGTATGTACTACATTATTATACAGTTTTAACCACAATGCTAACAGTACTAAATAGACGTCATCGAACGAACGCCTTTGACACTTTCTCGTTGGCTTGTTGAATCTGCCATATTTCTTTTTATATAAACATATAAAATTATTAATTATTTGTATACATGAATTTTAGTTACTTTATATATATATATATATATATATATATATATATATATATATATATATATATATATATATTGAAGTTCCAATATATATAAATATATATATTGTTAGCCTTACCATGTCTATTGTTTTAAATAAATACGAGTTTAATAAATTCAGACTTGTTGAGTGTTCATTAAAGAAAGTCATTAATGCAAAATGGGCATATATCTTCAATGATGTTTGTATTAAAGAAAACCTCGTTCCGAAATATATATATATATATATATCGGGTAGAATTCCAAATAGTTTGAGACCACACCTTGCTTAACATCCAATACCAAGCCGAGCCAAGCCAAGCTGAGCCAATATGCGTGGATTTATAAGCGCTTTTATAATAAAATTTTGCTCGCTTTGTATATATATGGTATAAAAATTCATTATAAAAGCAACAGTAATCAGTGCTACATATGTGCGCACGCAGTTCAAATTTTTCTGGAAGAATTCCAAATAGTTTGAGACCACACCTTGCTTAACATCCGATTTCAAGCCGAGCCAAGCCAAGCTGAGCCAATATGCATAGATTTATAAGCGCTTCTATATTAAAATTTAAAATTTTGCTCGCTTTATACACATCTATCTATCTATCTATTTCATTATTTAGTTTTGTTTAAATTTGGTTAAATTTATTTGATAGGAATTGAATATAACCTTTATATCGGCTAATTCACTAACAGGCAGTTAAATAACTACTGTTAAAATGACGTCATTTGCCCATCCTATTTTACAAGTTTTATTTGATGTTTTTTTAATTACTCAGTTACTTAATTACTCCAAATAGTTTGAGACCACACCTTGCTTAACATCCGATTTCAAGCCGAGCCAAGCCAAGCTGAGCCAATATGCATAGATTTATAAGCGCTTCTATATTAAAATTTAAAATTTTGCTCGCTTTATACACATCTATCTATCTATCTATTTCTTTATTTATTTGATAGGAATTGAATATAACCTTTATACCGGCTAATTCACTAAAAGGCAGTTAAATAACTACTGTTAAAATGACGTCATTTGCCCATCCTATTTTACAAGTTTTATTTGATGTTTTTTTAATAACTCAGTCACAATCATCATCGTCGATATCGCAATGAAATCAAATTGAAAATTTTTGAAAAAAGTATCTTTATTCATTTTGTGATACTACTTTGTTCAATAAGATACTGTACTATCAATTAACCAGTCAATTAACAAATAAATCAATTAATCAACCGCTGAATCAAATCAACTGACCAAACAACCAATCAATCAATCATTTAACTAACCAATCAAACAATCAACTAATTAACCAATAAACTTAGAATTATGTAATTTAAAATTATTTTTGTCAATTTTAATGAAAATATTGCAATTTCGTAAGTAAGCTAAGCTATGGCTTTGTTAAGCGGTAGGTTAGGCACCGTTTTTTAAAAACATGGAGCAATATTTTCAATTAAATTGACAAAAATAATTTCAAATTACATAATTCGATTTAATTACAATGTTTAAAACACACTGAGTCAAATTTATATTTAGCATTAGTTGTTTGTTGAAACGTTAAAACCCATGCATTTTCATAAGTAAGCCCACCATGGCTTCAGTAAGCCTCTCTGTTTTCTAAACAAAAAGCTATATTTTTATTTAAATTGAAACGATAATTTTAAATTAAATAATTCGATTTAATTATATTGTTTTAAAAATATTTTTAGTCAAGTTAATCTTTTGTATTAGTTGTTTGTTAAAACCCATGCAATTTCATAAGTAAGCCAACTAACTTTATATAGTCACATCTGCTGAAGTAATTAGTAGAAGCTGCTCGCTTGGCTTTATCAACGTGAACCCCAGAAAGACTCAGCTATGGCCACTAAATACACATACATTTTCATATAGGCAAACATAAGTAAAAACAAACTTTTTTAATATGAAAATTTTAAAAAAAAAATTTGAAAATTTAATTTAGCGAGAGGTTTTTTAAATAACGCACTTGGATCCCTTGGATCCGCATCTGAGTTTTGAGAATTTTTTATCCGCAGCCTCTGTATATACGAGCAGGCATTAATTTACTGCACAGCATTTTTGCGATATAAATTAACTTTTAAACATCCGCCTTTATTTTTAAAACAGCAAAAAAAACCAAAATTTGATTCATACTCACCGTTCAAAATGGTTTATGACGAAAGTTAGTGATTAGAAATTGTCTTTGTAAATATATTTCTTTTTTAAATATAATTTTTGAAGATTGAATCCTAAAATTTGTGTATGTGAAAAAGCCACAGACAAAATTTTTAAAATTTTATATGCAATGTCAATTATGAAACTTACTAACTTGTGAAACAAAGAATTTAATATTTTAATATTGTTTTTCTGGATAATTTCAAAAATTGTTAACGTTAATTATTTTTCTAATTCACAAAAAGTTGTTTAAAATTAAAGCATTAAAATGCGCTATTATTAGTAGGTAAATTTTAAATGTAGATAGTTTTGCTACTCGCTACACTGGTACTGCTCTTACATAAAAAAAAGTCTAAAAGCAAGGGTTTATTTAATTAACTTAGAATTTAAGTCTTAAATTAAATTTAAAAGTCCAATTTTTAATGTTTAAAAATTTTTTCAAAAGTCTGGGTGAGCTCATTGACAGATGCAGAATTGTACAGACAATTGAAAGCTTTAGGCTTTGACATTGGACCAGTTGTTAGTTAGTAAAAAGTTTTTTTAGTATATATAAATTTATTATAGTACTAAATAGTAATTTTTAATGTAATGTAAAGTATTCTTGAATTATATGCCACTAAAACCTCTGCCATTTTCATATTGTCTACACAGTTTTAATTGTCTTTTTAAAAAGATTTTTTATTGAAAAAGATCTCTAAATCTAAACAAATCTTAGTCTTAACAACCCTAAAGAGATAAGTAGGAGGAGTTTAATTGCATGTTGCTCTACAATACCAAATGATTGACATAAAATTACACGTAAGTTCCACTTGTATCTCAACCGTGCCTTTTTTGTATTCAGTCAACACAAGGAAGGTTTATGAACGTAAGTTACTACGGGCCCTGAACAATTCATCACCTGAGCAGTTTGGCAATCCCGAGTTGGTCGGTGGGGATGCATCGAGTTCAGTCAGCAATACTAGGGAAGATCGAGCAGACGTGAGTTGTTTTTTATTGACTTATCATTTTTTCAGAGTAAATATGAAACAAGTTCAGAATTATTTGCTCTTCAATAAAACTTTTATGCGAATTCCAACTTAACCCGCAAACAACTTGCAGCACAGCTACTCAGGCTCAGGTGACCAGGGCCGCTCCCTCCAACCGCCACCTTCGTTAGTCAGGGGAGTAATGACAAGGTCCTCTGGTGTCAGTCCGCCTGGTCAGTCAACAAACAGGCCCACCACCTTGCCATGGCAGCAACAGCAGCAGCAAGAACGTTTTTCACAAGATATTGAAGAATACGTCATCAACGACGATGATGTTGGTGGTGGTAGTCGGGTGAATTTGGAAAGAACCGGTGGATATGAGCGCCCTCATGATGTTGAATCTGTTGCCAGGGAGGCTGGCTCGTCTGGACAGTCCATTGTGGCTAGTCGTTCGTGGTCCAGTACTGTCACCTCCTCATATCCGGCCCCAGCTACTTCTAAAGCTACTACAGCTGCTTCTTCATCTTTTGCTAGAAGTTCTGCTAGTGATTATGATGATCACATGAGAAGTTTGTCTTTGCTGTTGCAGTTGTTCGTGTTGTCGTTGTTTTTAATGTTTCAAAATCGATATAAATGTTATTACAGAATGAATTGAAAGTATAATTATAATAAAATATAATAAAAATAATTATAAAATAATAATAAGTAATATTTGTTTTCAGGAGCATGTGACCAAGCATCTACACATGCTGAGGGGTAATTATTTTATAGCAGTGCTCCGCTAAGGGGTGGTCCGTTGACCGGTATCGGCCCATGGAGCAGTTGCATGTGACTATCCGTGGCCAGCTACCAAAAATGTTGAAAATTTACTAACAAGCAAAACCCTAGCTCGAACTTGACCAACGACAACACGATAAAAAAATTCATAAAATGTTACTGGCGTGCCATAGACAGCATGACTTATGACCAGTCAGAATAATAATCATGGTGGGATAACTATGTGGGTGGGCAGCTGTGGTCAGCTGTTTGAAAACAACTGATTTGTTATAATGTGTGAGCTGATTTATCGCAAATCGAAAATTTCTTTTAATACTTAAGAACGGCGTGAACGTATTGCGATATTTGCTACAATAGCTTATATTTTGCTTTAGATCGATTTGAACAAAATAAATTGTTTTAAAATTTATTAAATTTTTTTTAAATTAATATAAAATATTTAGGAATGAAATCGGGTTAGTTTTTTTTATAATTTCATATTTTTTAATTATGTTGAAAGCGTTTTGGGTTTTGTTGAAACTGGCCCTAACTCTGCTCCTGAAATGAAATTATTTTGTTGGAATGATGGATAACTTGACAGTTAGGTTGTAAGATAATTTTTTCGGAACTTTCTGTTAGCCAAGGACTAAAGATGAGACTTGAATTTACATCTTCCATCCGTTACGTTTTAAATCAGCATTAGGACAGAATAACCAAAGCTCACAGACTAAGTTATAAAAACTCTTCTGTTTCCTCCAACATATTTAAGTTATATCGGATTTTCATGAATGGCCACGATGGAGACCTCATACAGAAGTTGTTTGGTGCCGCTACGTGTGGTACAGTCCTCGTTTCAACCACGCTCTGAGGAATTGATAAGAAAGAAGCGAGCTAATTCGTCGCACAACGACTTTCATTTTAAAATGCTAAAACCTATTTTATTGTTTTTATTTTAAATAAAATTGTAACATGAGTGTGTGTATGTTAGTGCGTATACACAAGTTCTTGCGAAATTCATCTGGCGGTGGTTCGTTTCATGCCTTAAATTCAATGCCGGTCCGCGGACCAAAAAGTTTGCGGAGCACTGTTTTATAGTAGGTACCACTATTACAGTTCCTGCTGATGCGACCAATACTGAATTTTTTCTGTTAAAGTTCATTTAATAAATATAATAAATGTCTAATTATTACCCTTATGATTATTGTTGTTCACTCCTCATCTTTTGTCATAATATCTACTAATCTTCATTTTATCTGCGCACCAGCAAGCTTTCTTCCTGTATAAATAACAATTTCTATATTTTATTTAAACAATTTAACATGATATTTTGAAAAATTTTAAAGTAGAAAGTAAAATATGGAACACTGACAACACTACGTTTGCAGGCAATCTCTTTTTGGCCAGATCGACATCAACCAATTTCGTCGGCGTCCGCTGCACGACAGACCGCGACCAGAGCCAGACCAAAAGCTGTCGCTAATACGAAGATTTCGACAGTTTGAACAACAGCAAAGAGAATTTGAGTTACAAGGGCTTTCTGGTTGTTACTCTTCTGACGAATCACCAGAGAGATTTGGAGGTCGTCCAATGATAGAACGCCCTGCTGGTGCAGCCGCTTCCCCTGCTCCTATTGCATCATGTTTGTTGTTGTAGTTTTGGGGGCTGTTTTGGATTGTATTGTAGTTGTTTTAACTACTGCTGTTGCTACTGCTACTGATCCGTGTTTGTGATCATCGTTTTCGGGGTGGCTTCTGTGGTTTTAGATGAAGATGGGAGTGGCGTTGTTGTGGTTAAAAATGTGGCTGCTGTTGATATTTAACTGTTTGACTTGATATATTTGCTGATTTGTAAAGAGATACTTTTAGAATTTTTTAACTACTACTGTTACTACTACTACAATAAAAAATAATTTTAATAATAATAATAAAATTCTTCTGCTATTAATAATATTTATAATAATAATTAAATTAACTTGAAAATTTCAAAAAAAAATGTACTAAATTTCCAGGGTTTGGCATTCCGTATTGGTACATTGAGTTGTTCGTCCTGGCCATGATAATGCTCTGGCTGTTTGGGGCACTGGTCTACATGTACCTCTACCCCAAAGATGGCTTGCACCTCTTTGCGGAAGTACAATTGTAAATATATTTATAATAATGACGACTATAATTATTGTTTATTATTAATGTTGTTGTTGTTGTTGTTGTTGTTGTTGTTGTTGTTGTTGTTGTTGTTGTTGTTGTTGTTGTTGTTGTTGTTGTTGTTGTTGTTGTTGTTGTTGTTGTTGTTGTTGTTGTTGTTGTTGTTGTTGTTGTTGTTGTTGTTGTTGTTGTTGTTGTTGTTGTTGTTGTTGTTGTTGTTGTTGTTGTTGTTGTTGTTGTTGTTGTTGTTGTTGTTGTTGTTGTTGTTGTTGTTGTTGTTGTTGTTGTTGTTGTTGTTGTTGTTGTTGTTGTTGTTGTTGTTGTTGTTGTTGTTGTTGTTGTTGTTGTTGTTGTTGTAGTATGTATGT